AGACCACGAACGGTAACGCGAAAGCTTGAGATGCTTTTGCCAATCACCGCTTCCTATGGCGCCGGCGCGATATTACTCTCGCTCTAAAGGGCAGTCGTTTGTTCAACGCTGCTGTACAGTTGCGAAACCTGGTCCATTAGATCAGCCGACATAAGGGGGCTAGCTACGTTCGACCATCGCTTTCTTCACAGCTTAGCTCGTGTCCGGTGGGAACACCGCGTGAGCAATGAGCGTGTTCGGTGTCGCGCGTTTGGTGCAGAAATAGCAAACGAACCGCTCTGCACCGTTATATCACGCACCAGACTCCGATGGTGGGCTACGTGTTGCGCATTGCAGCGTAGAGTAGCGCTAGTACACGCCACTCAACTACGCACTGATGATGTCAACTCGACTGGTGACGAAACGTTTGCAACAAGTGCCAAGCTCAGCGAACAATTCAACCGCCATCTGAACAACCTGAGCTACCAGTCTTCAATTCTATAGCCAACTAAGCAACACATTACGTGTTTTGGTTTTATAGTGTATTCCGCAATGTTTTGTATATCGTTTTCTGTTGGTATATCCTAGATCTTTTGTATTGCGGCACAATAGCTGGAGTGTGTATAGTGATGATGAGGATGATTGTCTCCATGGATTTTGATGAGTGCATGTCTATCTGCGGACCGTAGGAAAAATCAACAAATGTCGGTTTACACAGGCAGTGAACGAAACCAGACAAAAATATCAGGAAAATGGGACCTGACTCACCCTGCGGACTGGAGTCGGTAAACATAATGGAGTCAGTGTCAGAAGAAGCAAAGAACCTCATCGTATTAGACCTGAGCGGAATGGGAGCGGAGTCCAGCTGGTGCAGTCCGTGGTCCCACGAAGTTTCCTTACATTTCAAAAGTGTATGACATGGTTCACACACGCGCACAGGGGACGAGCCTTGATACGGAAGTATAAGTCGATGTCTGGAACACTTCTGACAAACAACTTTTCCGCAATGTCTGCAATGGTGCTATGACACGGCAAAAACAAATAAGGGGGAAAGAATGACCAAAACGAACGCCTGTAAATGCTATCTGATTAAACCTGATAGAAGAACAGAGACAGGCTGCTTCAATTTAACGTCGTGTTAGACAAATATTGTGAACACGCTTCCTTGGGTGTGGCCAATAAACGTTCCCATAAAAACACAGATTGAAAAAAGTAAGCAGGTTCGGCATGAGGCAACAATGCTCCACCAGCCCAAGGATAGTGAAGATAATGTATGACACAAAGAGATCAAAGTGTATACATACAATTTGGATGAGTTGAGTGAGAGAAGAGGGGAAAGCAGATATTCAGTCTGATTGGCAATTGCTGCAAAACGTTAGGCAGCAGAACAATGAGGGGTTAAAAAGAGTTTGATTAGTGTTTTTCGCCGAACATAAAAAGAACGCCCTAGCTAAACTGTACAATGATCGTTGCGATTCGACTAACACGAAGCATCGGAATTCGGATGAACGCGGCAAGGAAGCGAAGACAGATGGACCTAACTGTTCACAAAAGAGGTAAGATTTGGGTGATTGACAATAAAATAGTGTTAGAGGCAGCTGGTATCAAGTGGCACACAGAATCAACGGGGCGAACAATGACATGATGATACTTCTAACTGAAATGTTTGATTGAGTTAAGACGAGCAAAGATTTTCTACTCGAAACAGCCATTAGTTTCACTGTCGCTTCAGAACATAATACCAGGAGACATGCATCTGTAGAGGTCACAGCACTTGTAAGTTGGGATCGACTCCCAGATACATGACGGAGCCACTCCCAAAGTCAAAATTAGCATTATCCACCCATATTGGCGCATTTTTAGCATTTTATCACTAACACTGCGGAATATAATACAACAAAGTACAAATGTGAACACTTGAAAGCATTAAACGAGAAGTCGCAACTTCAATCAAGCATACGGTCACGAAAGTAGTGTTTCATTTCCGATGGGTCGATTAGTAAGCGTGAAAAATAGGGCAAGATGGAGTTTCGATACGACATACGAGAATATCGAACTTTAAATCTGAACCGTGTGGAAGAAGTAGATATAGGGCTGACTAAGAGAGCATGTAAAGCGTGAGTCATTTAAATGCATGCATCGAAATACGTGCGAACAATGAAATCAAAGAGCGGTTCTTTTCTTATTCCAGAGGAGGCGTGTCTCGACTAACGAGAATAAACCAATTATGTACTTATTTATAAAATACATGCGGTTACAATCTCCAGAATTAAAGCATGTGGAACGGAAACCATTGTGAGCCTAAGGGCGTAAAAAGAGAGCCTTCTTACTTTTTAATGTTTAAAGAACATGTGTAGACCAAGATAAATTTTGAAACAGAAAAACTCCTAGACATTTTACGGTAGATATGCAAAGTGTGCTTCGGTCATCTACGATCACGGGAGGGGAAATATGTACAAGAGAATGGAGTCTGTTGGGATATAGAAAAGAATGTTAGGTCACAACACTTCGATGGATTGAAGGAGAGGGACCGGGAGCTCGAAGAACTCACTAGTTCGTCTAGCCCTCGCTGGAGGTTCAAGAAGTCTAGATGATTGGGGTTATGCAGCAATCCAGGACGACATCATCAGCATATTTACAGCCTATAAAGTTTGATGGAATAGGGTGACTTTCGATGTGAGCGGAGAATTAAAACGGGCATAGGATGCCTCCCTGCAAAAAACCGCACCGCATGGTTGCGTGAAATGGGTGGAATTTGTGAAGTAATCACGCACATCATTTTCTGACAAAAGGTTGAGCAGTAAAGATTTGTCGCGGCTCCCAAAGACGTTGGTTTAATAAAGAAATAGGAGCTGTGATCTTGCGTCTATTATCCAACACTTGGGCAACTGGGTAGTATCTCGCCATCTGACGAAACCATGGACATTTATGTGTTGTGTTTTCTTTGCCTATTTCTGTACCTTCTTTTGAGTTCCATGGTTTCTGATGGCTCTTGTCTATTCGTATATATATATATATATATATATATATATATATATACGAATAGACAAGAGCCATCAGAAACCATGGAACTCAAAAGAAGGTACGGAAATAGGCAAAGAAAAACACAACACATAAATGTCCATGGTTTCGTCAGATGGCGAGATACTACCCAGTTGCCCAAGTGTTGGATAATAGACGCAAGATCACAGCTCCTATTTCTTTATTAAACCAACGTCTTTGGGAGCCGCGACAAATCTTTACTGCTCAACCTTTTGTCAGAAAATGATGTGCGTGATTACTTCACAAATTCCACCCATTTCACGCAACCATGCGGTGCGGTTTTTTGCAGGGAGGCATCCTATGCCCGTTTTAATTCTCCGCTCACATCGAAAGTCACCCTATTCCATCAAACTTTATAGGCTGTAAATATGCTGATGTTGTCGTCCTGGATTGCTGCATAACCCCAATCATCTAGACTTCTTGAACCTCCAGCGAGGGCTAGACGAACTAGTGAGTTCTTCGAGCTCCCGGTCCCTCTCCTTCAATCCATCGAAGTGTTGTGACCTAACATTCTTTTCTATATCCCAACAGACTCCATTCTCTTGTACATATTTCCCCTCCCGTGATCGTAGATGACCGAAGCACACTTTGCACATCTACCGTAAAATGTCTAGGAGTTTTTCTGTTTCAAAATTTATCTTGGTCTACACATGTTCTTTAAACATTAAAAAAGTAAGAAGGCTCTCTTTTTACGCCCTTAGGCTCACAATGGTTTCCGTTCCACATGCTTTAATTCTGGAGATTGTAACCGCATGTATTTTATAAATAAGTAAATAATTGGTTTATTCTCGTTAGTCGAGACACGCCTCCTCTGGACTAAGAAAAGAACCGCTCTTTGATTTCATTGTTCGCACGTATTTCGATGCATGCATTTAAATGACTCACGCTTTACATGCTCTCTTAGTCAGCCCTATATCTACTTCTTCCACACGGTCCAGATTTAAAGTTCGATATTCTCATAGGTCGTATCGAAACTCCATCTTGCCCTATTTTTCACGCTTACTAATCGACCCATCGGAAATGAAACACTACTTTCGTGACCGTATGCTTGATTGAAGTTGCGACTTCTCGTTTAATGCTTTCAAGTATTCACATTTGTACTTTGTTGTATTATATTCCGCAGTGTTAGTGATAAAATGCTAAAAATGCGTCAATATGGGTGGATAATGCTAATTTTGACTTTGAGAGTGGCTCCGTCATGTATCTGGGAGTCAATCCCAACTTATAAGTGCTGTGACCTCTACAGATGCATGTCTCCTGGTATTATGTTCTGAAGCGACAGTGAAACTAATGGCTGTTTCGAGTAGAAAATCTTTGCTCGTCTTAACTCAATCAAACATTTCAGTTAGAAGTATCATCATGTCATTGTTCGCCCCGTTGATTCTGTGTGCCACTTGATACCAGCTGCCTCTAACACTATTTTATTGTCAATCACCCAAATCTTACCTCTTTTGTGAACAGTTAGGTCCATCTGTCTTCGCTTCCTTGCCGCGTTCATCCGAATTCCGAAGCTTCGGGTTAGTCGAATCGCAACGATCATTGTACAGTTTAGCTAGGGCGTTCTTTTTATGTTCGGCGAAAAACACTAATCAAACTCTTTTTAACCCCTCATTGTTCTGCTGCCTAACGTTTTGCAGCAATTGCCAATCAGACTGAATATCTGCTTTCCCCTCTTCTCTCACTCAACTCATCCAAATTGTATGTATACACTTTGATCTCTTTGTATCATACATTATCTTCACTATCCTTGGGCTGGTGGAGCATTGTTGCCTCATGCCGAACCTGCTTACTTTTTTCAATCTGTGTTTTTATGGGAACGTTTATTGGCCACACCTAAGAAAGCGTGTTCACAATATTTGTCTAACACGACGTTTAATTGAAGCAGCCTGTCTCTGTTCTCGTATCAGGTTTAATCAGATAGCATTTACAGGCGTTCGTTTTGGTCATTCTTTCCCCCTTATTTGTTTTTGCCGTGTCATAGCACCATTGCAGACATTGCGGAAAAGTTGTTTGTCAGAAGTGTTCCAGACATCGACTTATACTTCCGTATCAAGGCTCGTCCCCTGTGCGCGTGTGTGAACCATGTCATACACTTTTGAATGTAGGTTAACTTCGTGGGACCACGGATTGCACCAGCTGGACTCCGCTCCCATTCCGCTCAGGTCTAATACGATGAGGTTCTTTGCTTCTTCTGACACTGACTCCATTATGTTTACCGACTCTAGTCCGCAGGGTGAGTCAGGTCCCATTTTCCTGATATTTTTTGTCTGGTTTCGTTCACTGCCTTTGTGTAAAACCGACAGTTGTTGATTTTTCCTACGGTCCGCAGATAGACATGCACTCATCAAAATCCATGGAGACAATCATCCTCATCATCACTATACACACTCCAGCTATTGTGCCGCAATACAAAAGATCTAGGATATACCAACAGAAAACGATATACAAAACATTGCGGAATACACTATAAAACCAAAATACGTAATATGTTGCTTAGTTGGCTATAGAATTGAAGACTGGTAGCTCAGGTTGTTCAGATGGCGGTTGAATTGTTCGCTGAGCTTGGCACTTTTGTTGCAAACGTTTCGTCACCAGTCGAGTTGACATCATCAGTGCGTAGTTGAGTGGCGTGTACTAGCGCTACTCTACGCTGCAATGCGCAACACGTAGCCCACCATCGGAGTCTGGTGCGTGATATAACGGTGCAGAGCGGTTCGTTTGCTCTTTCTGCACCAAACGCGCGACACCGAACACGCTCATTGCTCACGCGGTGTTCCCAGCGGACACGAGCTAAGCTGTGAAGACAGCGATGGTCAAACGTAGCTAGCCCCCTTATGTCGGCTGATCTAATGGACCAGGTTTCGCAACTGTACAGCAGCGTTGAACAAACGACTGCCCTTTAGAGCGAGAGTAATATCGCGCCGGCGCCATAGGAAGCGGTGAGTGGCAAAAGCATCTCAAGCTTTCGCGTTACCGTTCGTGGTCTCATCTTCGATCGCACAAGCGCTAATATAGCTGCCGAGACACTTGTACTTTGTACCACTTCTAGCTTATTACCGCCTAGGGTGCACTCAGGGCTGGGTCGCTGCCAATATTGGAGAATGACTTTGCATTCCGAGCGTGCAAAACATAGCTCGAAACGACTGACACCTAGAGCTAACTTATCCAGTACATTTGTCCACCTTTAGGAGCTGTCACAGATTAAGGCAATGTCGTCAGCATATTTCAAGTCAGTAAGTCGAATCCCTGAAAGCAGCTCCACGCGCGTAGTCCGAGCAGGATGAGGGCTTACGGCAAGCTGTCGCCACCCCTTCAATATCTACAGCGGTGTGTGAGACAAGGATGCCCGCTGTCCATCCTTTCCTTTTCAACTTCGCTATTGACGAAGTCATGGAGATTGCATTTACAGGACATGATTTGATAAGGTGTGGAGCTACTCCCAGGAGAACGACTTCATCGACTTGGAGTATGCAGACGACCTTGCCCTCATGTGTGACAACTCCCAGCCGTGCCAAACCGCGCTGAAAGCATAAGCTCTGGCTGTCAGCCGCTTCCGAGCTTTGCTTTACACCATCGAAATGCAAAGCGTTCCTCCAAGATTGTCAGGGATCGCCTCTTGCGCTGACCCTTGGTGAGGATCAACTAGAAGTCGTTGACAAATTCAACTACCTGGGAAGTTGTATCAACACCCTTGGGATCGAAGACGTGATCACGAACCGTATAGCAAAAGCTCGAAGTGCTTTTGCTAGTCTTCACCACCTATGGCGGCGGCGCGACATTACTCTTGCCCTGAAGGGTAGAGTGTACAATGCAGCGGTAAGTTCGACCTGTACGGTTGTGAAACCTGGCCCCTAAGATCGGCGGACATGAAGAGGCTAGTTACGTTCGACCATCGGTGCCTTCGCAGTTTGGCTCACATCTGGTGGGAACACCGCGTGAGTAACGAGCGTGTTCGACGCGTTGTTTACGGCACAGGAGAAGGGAATGAACCGCTCAGCACCGTCATTTCACGCATCAGGCTCCGATGGCTGGGCCACGTGTTGCGCATGCCAGCCCATCGACTTCCACGACGTGCGTTGTTTGCTCACCGGGGATGTGGATGGAAGAAGAGGAGGGGTGGCCAAGCGATGACTTGGTCAAGAGGAATGAAGGCCTTCACTTTGGAGCTGGCCTCGGAACGTCACGGCTCCCTGATTGCGGTCCAAAGACGGTTGACACGTTTGGCTGGATACACTTGCTGACATGGCAAGGAGCCGACCTCAGTGGCGTTCCTGTTGTGAGTTTCTTTCTCCCTCCCCATCCCTTTTAGCCTCCCCTCCATCTACGATCTCATTTGTTAGCATAAAACACAATAATTTTTTTTCTTTTTGCCTAGTAGCTGGCTGGTAGCTTACCGGAACGATGCCTATCCGTTGCTGGTAGCTCAGTTGACATGCAACTTTGTATTTATTTTCCTTTTTCATTTATGTATTGCGGCACAGTAGCTGAGGTGTTTCCCACCTCTGGCTGACGTGTATAATGAATGAATGAATGAGCTCCACTTTGTAGGTCGTGCCCCGTGAAAGCAATTTCCATAAATTCGTAAGTGGGACTCTTGAATTTTCAGTTGCTACTCACGTCGAAACACCGGTTTGCACTATCTACTTCGAACGTATCCATTTTGCATGAATATTTTGAAGGGTTCTTTGGCTGAACAAGTTCAAGATCACTGAGGCCTCTTGGCTCCACCGCTTCTTTAAAAAATTATCCGAGTCACCGCGCATAACTCGCAGTTTGCTACTTTCATCCAAATGAAAGAGCTGTCGAAAAGCGTTTTAATAATAGTTGGTCTCCTCAACCGGATAAGGGATCTTATACTTCTATCACTATTTGATCGGTGCTCAGATATGGAACTGTTCGTTCACGCAATCTGTGTACACTGTTTTCACACTTGTAGAATTCTTACGTTTAGTGATGCTGTTGTATCACATTTGTGTGCAAAATGCTGTAGATGTACCTATCTGGGTGCGAAAAGCTTATCTTGACTTGATTGCGAAGTTAGAGGAGAGGTGACAGCGAACTACTGTCTCACACCGCTGGAGATATTGAGGAGCGGCGATAGCTTTCCATAAACCCGCACTCGACCCGAACCATGCGCGTACAATGCTCTGATAATGTTAACATATTTATTGGGTACAGTTTTCCTTAGCAGATAGACCCAAAGGTCACATCGATTCACCGAATCGAGGCACCTTTGATGTCCAGGATCACGACTACGACGGGTCGCCAATAAATATGGTGGTGTTCCAACAACTGATGTAAATTAAAGATGTGGTCAGCGCGTCCTCGATTTCCTCGAAACCCGGCTTGCTGCTCGTGAATCTGACTTTCACGGGTGCCAGTCAGTCTGTGAAAGATGACAGAGGCAAACGACTTGGATGCGATGGAGATCAGACTGGTCCCTCTGACTGCCGCATTCCAAGCGTGAGCCCTCCTTGGAGATCGATAGGACAATAACGGAGCTGCTCCAGTCTGTTGGGATATTTTCCTGCTCCCACTGCTTTAATAGTAATTCGGGTATGTAATCAACAAGAGCAGGTCCTCCGAATTTTAAGATGGCAGAAGGAAGTCTATCTGCTCATGCGGCTTTATTCACTTTCAGCAGTGTGATCTGTTCGACTTCTTTGCGTGGGATCATATCCGACGATTCGGCCCATGGAGTAGTACCCACTCCCCGCAGGTACGACGACCAACTGCGTCTACAAAATTGGCTGCAAGGATTGTGCCACGTGCGCTTAGGCCAAGCGGCTAGGGAACTGAGCACGAGGTTAGCAGAACACAAGAGACGCATATCACGGTCAACTAGTTCGAATGAAGGGGGCTATTGAGAGTTTCGGCGGTGACGATGCAATCGTTAGATACAGAGCATGAAATCGACTTGGTTAATGTCGTAATCTTTTTGGAGAGGTTTGCGATCCACACCTCGAACGCTGACTACTGAGGCGTCGGAAATGGCTAAAACCAACAGCTACATAATCAGAGTGGATGCAATGTAGTTATCGAATGTGTGGCGGGCTGTCTGAGGGGCGTTGGCGGACGGATCTGGGGCAGACCGCGAACCTCAAACCACTCCTAGCCAAATAGCTAACAGACTTACGTGAGATGACCTCGTACAATGAATCTTACCATTTAAAACGACACTTTGACCTGTGGCGTGATTAAAATCCTGCCTGCGTCTCGATAACCGCGATTACTGTACCATTTTTCTATAAAAGCTGCACCAATCACTCGCTAGTTCACTTGTTCTGACGAAGCTTTCGTGTCGAAATTAAAATGTTAGCTTCTAGCTACACCATGGGCTACTTTGTTTTTGTTTTCTTATCACGAAAACTGTGCCCTCTCTTGTTTACTCAAGGTTTAGAGAAGAGGGTGGTGAGAAAGGTAGTCACAACTTCTGGCTGTCTACGATGAGCCATTTTGTCATGGGTAGTGACTTTGTACAACTTAGGGTCGAACACGCCTAATGATTGTGATATTTACCGTAACCCCATCAACGAGTTGGAGTGCTTGTGTCGTTAGTGCATACAGACCCGCATGGCAATCGCGCGTGCATAGATACTCCGCAAATTCGCAAGCCGCCCTGCCAATTAATTTTTCGCCCCATTTGATAGCGTACAGACCAGCAAATGAGAACCGATGCTGTCTCAATAGCCCGCTTCAAATTTGGTGCAGTGTCGCACTACATGTACAGTGCGTTTGATAAATGTGGTCCGATTATCGTGAGTAGCAGGTTGAAACGTCGCACGAAAGCGCGTATACACGGTTATCCGTCCAAGAGTTTTCCACTCACCCAATAGTGAATGAATATTTTCCGAAATTACACGCCCAAAAACACTTGCGCGCCTGAGGACCATTAATGAAGCTCTATTCCTAGGAGTGCATGCACATGACATGCTGAACAGACCTGCGCTAAATGATCGAGGGATAAACGGAGGCCTACTATCCAGTGAAACCATCTATAACTTGACAGCACACGGTAGTTGAAAATAAGTCATGCGTGCGTTTGCTTTGCGACCCGACTCGTGTTGGGACAATCGATAATTAGGTAGTACTGAGTCAGCCTAATAGGCAAATCAGTGCAATTCTTGTCATTTGGTTATCGCAACACTCAGCAATGAAGCAAGAGGACGCTCGCGTCATCGACTTATCTGCAACCGGAATCACGTAACGTGCCTGTTGAACTGCGTGTGCTCATTCTGCGATTGTGCATGAGATTTTAAAGGAAAGTAAATACCGTAGGTATAGTACACTTCGGATCTAAGTTTTATAACTGTCCGGGATAAGGTAAAAAACATTAAGAAAAACCCGTTATTTCAACATTTAATCGATTAACCGGTTGGGCATTTATTTCAAAGATCCTGGTACCTTCCATTTTTTCATGTGACCGCCAACATACGGAGATTTGGCAGGAAAACTACTAATTTTACCAGTTGATCTTCATTTTCTAAAAGTCGAGGACCATTAAGCGAACTATAAATTTTGCGAAGGTCTGGGGCAGTTGTACAGCGTTATGGCGGTCAAGGTCGTTAGACTTCCGATTTTTCTTAGGCTGGGCTAGAATTCTTGCTAGGAACTTGGGGTGTTTAATTTGGATTAGCGATAAAATTTAGATCTAACAGTAGCGACTCAGGAAAATGAAAATGTAGTAAATTTTTCCACTGAACATCTTCAAAAGCTGCTTCCTCTGCAACAATCCCAGATGGGAGCACAGTTGAAATTGATTGAAAGTCTGACGTAGTGCTGGAATGTACAATGAAACGCATCAGATATGCGGGAGGCACAGGCCATTTCACTAGATCTTCCTACGAATTTAATCACTGAATTTAATTTTGATGCTAATTCCGACTGCATTTTCGAGGCGTGGTTCAAAGGATAGGAGGACATGTTCCGGACGGATTTCAGTCGCCACTATTGATTCATGAAATGTGCTACTTCTGCTCCGCAAACTCTGCCAATGAACATTCAAAATTCATCGACCATATTCTGCCCAAAGAGCCGTGGGACATCAACTTCAAGGAAGCAGTGGCACTGCTGTAAGAAATCTTTGCTGAGTCAACGTCTTTGCTTAGCATTCACTACGAATGCCTAAAAATTGTTAAACGGGATACGGACGATTATGGGGCACTAGGAGACATCGTTAACTGTGAATGTGAACGTTTCAAGTTACGCTGTTTGACGGATGACCAGTTTAAGTGTCTCATATTTGTCAGTGCTTTACAATTTCCACGCGACGCGGAAATCTGCACCCGGCTCCTTACTAAATTGAATCAAGATCCAGATTTGATATTGAAGTCTCTAGTAGGCGAGTGCAAATGGTTAAAACACGACACCGTCATGATTGAGCAGAGTCGCCCCATCTTTGCCGATACTGTACATGCTGTGCAAAAGGCAAGAAAAGCTAGCTCGAACAAGCCGTTCAACAGAGCGGCGAACAAGCTGCCTACACCTTGTTGGTCATGTGGTGAACGGCATTTTGCACTTTACTGCCCATTCAAGCGTCACATTTGTAGTAAGTGCCATAAACGCGGTCACAAGAAAGACTTTTGCCATCAGTCCCGGCCAAGAATCGTGAAGCTGTCTTACCGAAGGAAGAACTTGAAGAAGCCTGCCGCTTTTCACAGTGATTCTAGACCACGCTGTCGATTCATCACTGTGCCCATAAACAGGATTCCAACCAAACTGCAGTTCGATACGGCCGCAGACTTAACGGTCATTTCCAATAACATTTGGACTCACAGAAATAGGCCGAAGGGGGCTGAATCCATTGAAGTCGCCCGCAATGCATCCCGTGGAGTGCTGAGGCTGGTCCGATAAATAACCTGCAAAATTGCTTACGACGGTGGAAAAGACCTGAGCCTGCTGCTTGTGCAACGGACCAAACTTGAACCTCCTTGGGCTTAACTGGATGGAAAAGCTACAACTGTTCGATCGAGTCCAAACCGATCCGGTCCATGCATCACAGTCGATTGAAGATATGACGAGAAAGCTGAAGCAGACGTTTTCCTCCTTGTTTGAAGATGGTCTCGGTCACCTCACTAAGTTCAAAGCGAAGTTGTGCCTTCGCGAAGTAACCAACCAAGTCTTCAGAGCAGAAAGACCGGTACGGTATGCAGCCATTGCAGCGGTTGATCTGGTGTGTGCATGTATGATCACGCCAGTGAACTATTCTTCATGGTTGCGCCAATTGTTGCTGTGAGAAAGGCAAACGGTAAAGTACATGTCTGCGCTGACTTTTCAACTGGCCTTAACGCCGCGCTGCACGACCATCAGTACCTCATTCCGATATCGGAGGATTCCCTTGCCAAGCTGAATGGTGGGAAGTGTTTCTCCAAGCTTGACTCGTCCGATGCCTACCTCCAGGTCGGTGTTAATGAACGTTCGATCAAACCATGCTCATGGAAAAACGGCAGTGTACCAAAGCATAATCAGAGTCGATGCAGGTATTCTAGAACGAGTGATAATCCTGGTTGAAGCCATGCAACCTGTAATCTATGGCAGGGTGATTGGTTTGGATCCATCGCTGTCCAACTATAGATGGACGCCAATCGGCATTTTGGCGCCAACTGTGTCTAAAAGCGGTATAACTAAGAAGCAGCCGATGCTTCGCACACAGTTGCAACAAACACTAATCCTTATCCTGTGTTCCTTTTACCGTGACCTTTTATTTACTTTTCTCCCCTTTTCTCTACTATCTTTTACTTATTCTTATGGTGGCGTCCTTCATGGGCTCTTGATTCATCTCACTTCAGTGCTCGGAACATGACTGGTCAATTGAAACTGATAAATTTTCGCGATGCACTGAACGCTTTAGTACGAATGCAGTGAGCGTCACTTTCAGACATCAAGTTTTTCCGACCCATCCTTGTTCGGTTGAGTTTTCTTCAAAGCACTGCTCAAATTAACCCCACCAGACACACAGCTTGCTCATCATCGCACTGCATTGGTTTCTCTCGAAGTGAACAGTGACATATTTCTGTGGCTGTCGGTCTCGCCTCCATTTTGCACTGTTGGAAACCAGTTCCATCGAATGATATGCATGGCATCATGTAGCATGTTTGTTGTGGTTTTCAAACAATCCACTGCGGAATCTGAGTTGTGTACTCGGCGTTCGGCTTCGGACTCATATGACTGCCAGGTTTCTTGCAGACCTATCGCGGGTGTCCACAGAATTTGTGTATCAACGGCCCATTGTTAAACAATACACTGATGCTACCCAGTCTGGTATGCTTATGGTTACTCGCGTTTTCCTACATCTTCAATCAGGCCAGTAGATTGCAACTGCCCCTCTTGCTCATCCCTTTAATTCTGGGCGTAGCTTTCTGGAGCCTGAGCTGAATTAACTACATATTTCAATTAATCCGATTTGCGACCTCGGAATAAATACATGTACTACCCGAGAGTTTTGATTTAACGCTGTTTCTGGTCACGGATACTTTTTACTATATGAATTGCTTCCCGTATGTGTCGTGATCTCTAGCCCGCATTGATTTTTTAACGATTAATAGTGCTAGTGTGTACACATGTGGCAGCTCTGTCGGATTGACGATGCTTAGTCATATCTGAACGTTACAGCACCGGACAGAGCTACCCGTTCCCGTATTACTGCTTTGATCAGTTATGCTGTTGTTACCCGATTCTGCCAGAGGATAAGAAGCATTCTTGATCACGTGTTCCTCGATCTTTAGAGTCGCCTTTATTACCGAACTGTTACGGCAGTGTTGTTATATTCCAGTATCCAGGAACGGGTTTAACTTGCTTTGATTCCTGTTCGAGTTCCTAAGTCACTTTTTGTTACTATACATGCACCGTGTTATTATAAACACAGTCACGACTTCTCAAAACCTGTTGGCCGTTGGTTTTTAACCATGGTGGCGTTCTCGTAGCCTGCATTGGTCGTGGATACACGACCAGAAATCCCCATCTCTGAGACTTCACACGTATTCTTTTCGGCCCGAGAATTAACACCTAGCGGATCTTTGCTGTGTTTGTTCACCACCTCTGTTTCGCAATGGATAGCCCTACTCACAGTGGGGTTGAACATCGAATATGGTGTTTGATGATGTTTTCTTTGTCTCTTTCCTTCGCGGTACTCCACCTCTTCGTGTTAGTCCCACACTTTTCGCAGGCTCCTAATAGTCACTCGGACGGTGTGTGATCACTGTTAGTTAATGGATTACTTTGGACTTCCACTGACCTGGCTGCACCGTTGTTCTAAACGATTTTCTGTACAATGTACGCCTTGAGAACGACGGTTCATACCCGTTGTCTTCATAGCTTATAATTCTGTCGAGATCCATTTGTCATCGTTCCACTCTTCCTCCAATAGCGTGTGTGGAGGAAGCTAGTTTTGATCAAAGGTTTAGCAGCACACAAGACAGTAGCATTGGTTTGACGAGATTTCCCCAAGCCATATGAAGAACCTAATGTTTTTCCTCATCAACAATGCTTTCATGTATTGGCTATGTTACGTGTACCCTATGTGTTCACTGTTTCCATCTACCACGCTTCTCTATTTCAACTGCACTTATTTACGTGGTGTTCCATCCTCCCGTTGTCTTTATCTCCTATCTCGACTGCGTTGTTACATCTACTTTGTAATCCCCCGCCTATGATCCCATTAGCTTTTCTTTTAACAAATTTCACCCTTCCACACATTCGCACAGCCACGCGCAGACCACTATGGAGCCCAACTTTGGACGCGATCCACCCCGATGCATCTTGAACTACTGACTACTGCGGAAATCAGTACTTACTGATGTGTGCACAACAGACAGGCCGTTTGTCTACTTTTGACGTCGCATACCGATTTATTCCACTTCACAGAATCAGGGTTTCTGTACCTCGCCACTTGTTTTGCCGCTATGTCAATTGGCCGATCCATAGTGAACGAGCGTATCCACGCCCCCACTACCTACACTCGCTCACCTGATCATTCGATTGTAGTTCCCATACCTCTTTGCTCCCCGGATTCATCTCAAACCCTCCATGGTTTACTATTCTTGGTATCTTCCATCTCTTTTCTGTTTGTTGCATGACAAATATTGCGGAAAATATGCGCGACCAACACGTTTACCGGTTAGGAGTATCTTTCCATTTTCTTGCGAACACACACCACACTCTATTTGTAAAGATCAATTGACCATGTGATGAGCGCCTATACCGATTGGTGTACGCTCCTTTTTCCATACTGTGATATCCTGTTTTATACTGGAGTGGTTAATTTGTATCTTCTATCCATTTTTACACCTTTTGGTCACACTCTTCTCGTCTGTATGACATAAATAAGTTTATAGATGTGAACTGGAATTTACTCTTTGTGCTCTTGAATCCGTCGGAACAAAGCTGGACCTATGCGTGGTGCATCAGATTGTGTAACTTAACTCCTTGTTGATCATTTTGACATTTATACATACCTGGTGAGTCAGTGGTTATTAGGGAGACTCAGTTCCTGGTTGGGGGCTGGGACTGACCTATTGCTGCAAAGATGGTCAATCTTGTTGGCTGCTACCAATCTACGGGTATTTTTACGTTAGACTTCTTAGCCTAGAGTTAGGATGAGGGTGTCCATCGTTGTGCCTTCATTTGGACGTCATCGCAATGTTCCAAAATCCACTGACGTGAGTATCACGTCTAAATTCGTCTTTGTCCTGTGTCGACTGTTGTGTTGTTTTCCAAACGGCTGTCCTATCGATTTCTATAAGTGTATCAAATGTATATAATTTTGGGGGCCGTAACCCAAGTGCTGAAGAAACGTGTGAATTTGGTTCTTTTTAGTCGATTACTAAACGAACAATGAGATCCGCCTTCGTAATCGATTGGTGACAGACAAGTGGTGAGTGTGCGATTGGACATTAGGTGTGCAATCCCATCGTAGACTTCTGTTCTGTGTCCGAGTAAGCATTGAACCCTGCCTTAGCTGGAGCCTCTATACCCTCTGGGCAATCGTTGATGTATGCTGGCGAACGATGCGGCTACTTGGGTATTTCATGTATCTGGCATTTTGCAGAAGCAGTCGTGGCTGCTATTATTTTTTTACTTTGTCATGTTGTGTGGACTAGATCTCGATAGAATCCGAGTCAACAATGCGAATACGGCTGAAGCCTGAGGTCGCGTTATACATTTCGGTCTCAGAGATGGTCACCAGACTAATTGGTAATGGTTCAACCTGCGCCGCCCGAGCACAGAGGCACTAAGAGGCAGGGGATGAACTGAGCTCTTCCGGAAGACCATCCACCCAACTTGTTTTCCGGCTTCGCTCTTGTGATTTTGGCCACCGGTGCTGCCATTGGTTGATTCATTAACAACATTGGGACAAATGGCTCAACGCCTCCTCTATTTCCTGAGTTCTTGTGGTCCATTATTTCTCCTCGTCAGTTTACAGCCTCCGTTGTCTGCGATGACGACTGTGTCCACTTGAACACTCACTTGCTCTAATCTTGCATCTCAAACGTCTGCTGATCGTCTGAACACTTAAGTGAATTTAACGGGCGAAGAATTGTCTTATTTGCCACATACAGCGGGGCGGACATGCGAAAACATGCTACCGCTGGGGCCTATTTTCTTACTTCTACGACCAACATTCTGCCGTATCAGTCCCCATTCCATCTGCCCCAAATCCCACCACAGCGATTATCCGGCGCGTACGTATGCCTCCACGGAAAGCGCTCAATACCGGATACTGAAACTGTGCGCGGAACAACATCCTCGTGATTCCTGCTAAGTGATTCGGGTTTGTCCCTCTCTAGTGTTCCTGGAAATGTTGGGTTGTCGTAAGTGTTTCCCTGTAAAAATCACAAATATCTTTAATTACACTGGGACGTGGCAAATGTGACTGCACACTAGAGAAAGCCACTGCCCCTTGCCTCTCCGAATAAACAAATCCACTCCATCATCAATCATCTACCTCAAAAATTTTCTTTGATCCCGACGTAATGGCGACCCGAATTACCAGTCACATATGCAGCGACACATTCACATATTCCAGTAACATAGCTACATACATATGGTTGGCGGCATCCAGTTCCGGATATGCCTGTTATGCGCCATCCATAGGGCAGCCACATGATGCCTGCACCTACTGAGGAACCATGGGTGGCTTGCGCTGCACAACTCATAGCTCCATCCACACATCCCGTATCCAGTGTAAACCCGAAGGAATAAGGCCGGGAGGCATGTGAATGGGAGCCAAGTTTCATCGACGGAGCCGGCCCACACTCCTTCAATATGCATAGCAGCAGCATTCCTGTCTACCCATATAGGGAATCTTGCGTATCAGACGCACTCAAGGCGGTGGCTGGGCCGTAGTCCGCTTCACACTAGATGGAACCACTCTTTCAGCCTAGCAGAACCACGATGACCATGCAGCCCGTCCCCCACCCCCGCAGTGATTCACTGTCTCCAAGAGCCAGTAATCGAGCTAGAGGGTGTTAAACAGATAGGCACCTTTTCAACATGCACATCAAGCGCATCCACTCCAAGGATAGCAAACAACAAACATAGAATTTAAGGGAAAGTGAACACGCAAAATTGACACGGAATATGCAGCAGAGTAACAGAGTTGAATAAACCAAATAAAGAGGAATAACTTTTATCCAGATTAAGAAGACTTAGATTAGGTGCAAAGTTGCTTTAGCCCGACTGCTGTGAAGAAGCATCATGGATGCAACATCAACATCCCCCTGAGACAACTGCCAACTATACTGCATCTTATACCCCAGTTAACTCCCGACCGCGTCTCATTTGACGCAGCAACCTGTTCTTGTTCTACCCTCAACGTTCACAGTTTACATGTTGATGGAGTCTCCTTTTTCCACTCTACCTTATTCTTTCCTTAACTGTATCAGATGGCGTGGTGGGGCGTCACGCTTTAAGCCGGTGTGTTTTCTGCCTATATGTCACATAGGACCGAATGAAGTTACGGCTATCACTCGAGTCCAACTCGCAAGCAAGTAAGACGGGTGAAACGTTCCGTAACAAAGAGCTCCGTGTGTTCATCCCATGCATCAGAAACTGAGCCACCCCTAGTTTGGGACGAGCCCACTTGCCTGCCGGCTGCGAGCTCTCCTGGGCGATGTCCATCCGTTTCTGGAGACCTAGCTAGTCTGTCTGTTGCGTCCAACGGGCACTAACATCTCGGTGTGCGATAACAAGCGAATGGCGAACACAACGAAAACAGAAGAGAACAACTGCCAGCGGCGTTGAAAATCTATGATATTCCACGGGCCTGAGTTAACGGATACGAATGCTCAGGTTCGTTATGGTCGCGACGTCGAATTTCGACAGATCCTGATCAGTAAGCTCCACGGCGTGGGTGAACAGGGATTGAGGGTGAAGCAAATCACTAGTCTTGTAGAGTTCCGCCTCGGTAAGCTAAAGGGGTTGAAGATCCATATTCCTCCAGATTTGAATCCGTTGGACCGAGAGAAACTGAAATCCTCTATCACTGAGTTGAAGCGGCTTACCGATAGCAGAGAAAGTAACCTCCGCACTGTAAATCTTCGGGTAGTTCCCCGGGTCCGCCGAACCCGGATCAACAGGTCGATAAACCTTCATGCACGCTCGACGGTTCCAACCGCGGCCTGCGCGTAGTTTTCACAAATGTTTGTAGTTTGCTGAATAAGCGTGACGATCTACATCACTTCGTTGCCTTACGTCATTCGGACTGGCCGAAATCTGGTTTAATCCTGAGGTCACTACCCAAAAATTCCAGATTAACCGGTGCGACGGATTATCAAACGAGCGCGGTGGCTTGATGTTATTTACTCGGTCTTCGCTGTGCGGGAGACTGGTACACGTCTACCGCAGCGAAGATGGTCTGTGCGAGCAACTATGGTGATCGATCCGCCTGAGACAGGGGGAATTGTTTATGGGTGCAGCTTATCGCAGCCCGCGAAATCGATGTCTGGATTGGTTGCCGCATGTAAGAAACTACATGAGTCAGCCCCGCTTCCTGCTTATGGGCGATTTTAACTTCCCTCGAATACTGTGGCCTGAGGCCCAACTTCTCCCTGGGCACTGTGAAATCGAGGCGCAATTTGCAGACATGATATTTGAGACTGAGGCAGCACAACACGTCTGCCAACCGACGCGCGTTACACCGCATTCCGCTCCATCGTGCTTGGACCTACTAGTAACTAGTTGCGAGCAACGTGTATATGAAATTCAGGTCCTGGGGCCTCAGGCGACTAGTGACCACTCGATGGCCTTAGCCAACATAGCTGCCGCTGCCCTACTCGCGTCCGCTGGAGCCGTCCTACAATTACTGGAAGACGGACTTCGAAGGTCTCAATCGAGCCGCCAGTGAAGTGGACTGGTCGCTACCGCAGGATTCATCTATTGAAGCCTGTTGGTCTGTTATAAAAGAGGGTGTGCAATCGTTAGTCGCACGTTTCGTACCCCTCAAATATAGGAAAGCTGGACCAGTGAAACCACATTGGTTCGACAGAGAGTATGGCCAATTGGCTCGACGGCGACGCGTATTGTGGAATAAATTCCTCGTGTCTGGCTCTGCCGACGATTATGAGACGTACAAAATGCAGCGGAATCTATGCAACAGCGCAAAAACGCGAAAGCATCGGCATTTCGAAGAGCAGCTTACAACCTCCGCGAAGACAGCCCCCAAGAAGATTTTTGCTTACGTGATACGGCACCTGAGACCCGCAGGCAGTGTTAGAGGGCACTGACGGACAGCTTCTGACCTCCAGCACTGAACGTGCATCCATATTGGTGGAGTACTTCGCTTCCGTATTTACAAGTAGGCATGCGCCTATACCGAGCTCGATGCGTGCAACCCCTACTGAACTCGATGTTCTGGATTGCGGTGTAGATGTCCGCAGTCTACTTGCCAGTCTTGACGGCACGAAACCTACCGGATCCGATGGACTTCACCCGCTTATCTTAAAGTGCTTATCGGCCATTATCTCGCCCACCGTGGCAGATCTGTTCTACAGATCGCTGTCCAAGGGTGCAATGCCGAGCGACTGGAAATGTTCGGTAGTGAACCCGATTCCAATAGGTGGTGGCCCACGCAACGTGCATAATTACCGGCCGATTTGACTCACCTCTGTTTTGGCGAAAGTGCTCGAGAATATTGTGAAAAAGGGTCCTCTCCAGCTGTTAGAGTCGAAAGATCTCCTAACGCCGGCATAGCACGGCTTCATGAAGGGACGCTCGTGCATCACCAATCCGCTGTTGACTCAGCAGGAATGGTTGCTAGCGTTGAACCGGATGAAACCAGTGGATGTTATATACATTGATTTCAGTAAGGCTTTCGATAAAGTAAATCATGAGGTTCTGCTCCACAAGCTGAGGATATGCGGTGATGGTGGCGCACTGCACCAGTGGATC